AGTGGTAACTGTAGACATGTAGGGTGTGGCTGGAGGAGATAGGTCACTGGAAGTTGACTTTGGGGCATATATTTTGTACCTGGCAGGTAGAGTGTCCCGCTGTCTCTGCTTCCTGGTTCCATGTCCCCAGATGTTCTCCTCCAGCATACTCTAATGATGTTCTGCCTCACCTTGAGCCCCAAGGAATGGAGCTGGCCTTCTATGGACTGAGACCTCTGAAACCATGGGCCCCCAATAAACTTTTTCTCCTCTAAAATTGCTCTTGTCAGGTCTTTTGGTCAGTGAAAAAAATGAACTAAAACAATCTATGAATTAAAATCAAGGTTTCTGTATATTTTTTACTTTAGGGTATTGTTCAGTGAGTATATACATTTATCAATTTTATACATTATACATTTTATTCTATATAAATTATATCTCAACAAAAAGGAAAAATTGTTTAAAAATCAGCATTCCTGTCAGAAGGGGAAAATCACAGTAGTTATTACATGTGTATGTTGGATAGATTAAATAAGATAATGCATATAAAATGCCTCACAAATCATAGGCATTATTATCTGAACAAATGACCAAAACATTGCAAGGTGAATGTTATTATCTTTTTTTGTTTGTTTGTTTCAAAATAAGGATAAAGCAGAGTTTCAAAAATTTATACTACCTTGCCAAAGATCTGAAGCTGAGCTTTAAATACTGGTCTGTTGAATGATTAAGTTTTCTGCACTCTAATAGAAAATTACAGTGTGGGCCCTTTAGGAAGTTGGAATGGAACAAGCAGTTTGGTACAGAWCTTGTTCCTTTCTTGGAGTGTAACCATGGGAAAAAAGCTGAAATGATTTAAATATTTTTTTAAAAATCAAATTTGTGATTTTACCATTGAGAATTTTGTAATTTGATACAGCAAAGGAAGGATACATTGTGGAAGATGGGAAATTCATTCCTGCTGTCTTTAATTGCTAAGGGAATATTTTGTTGTTTTCAATCTGTTTAGAACTGGTACTTTTCACACTGACAGCCTAATGGATGATATTACAAAGCAGATAAAAACACTTTGTGTATATCTTCTTTGGGCATGTGGGAAATATACATAAACATAGAATTGACTGCAAACATATTGCTTATGTGATTTGAATAAGAACAAACTCACTCTGAACTATATGGCAAACCTACATGAACGTATTTCCAGATGACATTTCATACATTATGAATTRTTCTCCAAAACTATCATTCCCGCATAGACTGTTTATATTAAAACATTCCAAATTTCTGTTTCACCACAGTTGAATTTAGTTCTACTTTAGGCTCATTACCTTTTGCCATTAAAGAAAGTGATCCTGAGAAATAAAAATCATTCTAAGACATAAATCATCAGCTTGATTTTACATCAGTATTGTAAACTCATTCATATCCTAAGACTCATTATCTCTGATTTTGGAAATTCTGACATTTTAAAGAAATTATGTAAAAGATTTGACCATCATTTTGTAAACTTTATTGAAAATAAATTAACAACATCTTCATATCTAAAAATACAACTTTTATTTACTCATTAAAATAGTATGGGTGATTGCACTCAGGAAAAAAAAACTGCATTGCGTAATTGGTATAAATAGGCAACCTCAAAGAACTTTCAATTTCAAAGGGAATTTTCAAAGGGAAATGGAATTATACTGAAAGAACCACATAYGAATCTGTACTAAGGATGTCAATTAATCTAAGAGTAGAAGGAGAAAAGTAAAAAAGATATTTCAGAGAAGACATATTATTCTCATAATAGAAAGTTCAATTGAAAGGTTCTAATTGAAAAWCTTATGTTTGATAGAGTAAGGATAGAGAAGATTTAACAGGGTATTTTAGTGAGAAGAACTAAAATGAGAAGAGACATAAAAACGCAAATCAAAAACCCAAGAGTAGGAAAATAAAAAGGAGCTCAGTAGCAAGTGGCATAACTACTACTATAATTTGGATCTTAAATGTCCCCCACAGGCCTGTGTGTTAAAGACTTGGTCCCCAGGCTGGCACTATTGGAAGAGGGCGAGAACTTTAACAGGTGGAGTCTGGTGGCAGGTCTTAGGTGATTGGGGAGCATCCTTTAAGGGGATTGTGGGACCTTGGCCGCTTCCTCTTCCTCGTCCTCTTTTCTTTCACATCTGGATCATTTCCATTTTCGTTCCCTCAACACAGGCCCCAAAAGCAATGGGCCAACTAACGCTGGATTGAAACTTCTAAAACTATGAGCCAAAATAAACCTTTCTTCCTTATAAGTGAATTACCTCAGTTGTGTGTTACAGCAACAGAAAGCCTACTAACACAACTGCATATTTCAGATAGTAGAGAGACGTGAGATGAATGTCAGAGAGGATGCTTGGAAACAGATGACAGAGGTGTGAAGATGCCAGGGTAGTTTTGATTTTTATTCCTCAGACTCTGAAATCTTGGTTTTATCTTTATCCTAGTAGGTGGTCTAAGAAACACTGGGGTCCTCCCTGAGATTTTTTAGGGAGTCCATGAGGTCATCACCATTTTCATAATAACACCAAGACAGTAATAGCAGTTGTCACCTTCATTGTGACACAGGTTTGCAATATAGTTTTCCATAATGTGTACCATTAAGGCACATAGAATGCAGAGCAGATGTAAGAATCCTGGTGTCCTCTCTTCTGCCAGACACTATGAAGATTTGTGAAATACACAAACACATGCCATTCTTCTCAGTAGGCATCCTTTTGTAATATACAGTAATTTTCATAAAAATAATGATGTATTATAGGTATTTAAAAATAAATCAATAAATATTTTTGAAGTTATTTTTCTTTTTTCTCTCTGTGTGCTGGGGATCAAACTTAGGTCCTTGTGTTTGTGAGGCAAATGTCTACCACTGAGCTACATTCCCAATCCCCTTAGTTTTTATTTCAAAAACACTACATATCAGTAGATAACCCTTCCCCCCCCMAAAAAAAAAATTCTTCAAGATCTTCACAATTTTTTCCTTTTCTTCCCCCCATTCAACCCAAGGGTCCTCTACTGCTGAGCTACATCCTCTACCCTTATTATTATTATTATTTTTTATTTTGAGACAGGATCCCACTAAGTTGCTGAGGCTAGCCTTGAAACTTTGGATTCTCCTGCCGCCGTCTACCTTGTCAGTGGGATTACTGGTGTGCACCACCATACCCAGTGGTCTTCACAAATTTTTCAAAGTTTAAAGAGATCCTAAGACCAAAAGTTTGGCTAGCCACTGCTTAAATAGCAATTTGGTCTTGATAGACACTCAAGCATGACCTCTAGTGGATGCATCCAGCCGTTTTTGTACACTTCTAGAAATCAGTTATCCAAACTAAAAGACATCATTTGAAACTCCACTGTTATTTCTTCTTGAGACTTCATTCAAGCTCTTCTATTATAGGCGCCAAATCTAGTTTCTGCTACACGGGTTAGGACTAGGTTTTTCCCTGGTGTCCCTGGGCCACTTGCTTCAGAATCTCTGGTGAAGCAGGCTTCGAAGGAAGATGCCCCGGTCTTTCTTAGAGCTTCCAATCAGAACCTCTATGAAAGAGCTCATCTGCAGTCCATCAAGAACCCCACGTTGTTCTTACGAATACTGAGATTCAGTTTCCTGTTCTGGTATATTTGTGGTGTCCTGGGGAYGTTACAAAGAGTCATCATAAAATGGTGGTCTGGACTCCTGTGGAGTCAGACATTTTTACTCAGCTTAACTTGAGTTCCYATGGACTGGCATGCCTTTCAACACTCATCAGGCAGAAATTAAGAATCTTGAAGTTGATGGAGCTTGTTCAAGGAAAAAGAAATACCCATGAGTCAGTCACCAGTGAGACCTTAATTCATCAGAGATACCACTCTACCCTCATGATGGAGGTCAGYGTGAGTGAAACCCATACTTCTGAGGTTTGTAACATGCAGAAGAGTCACGGGAGACTGCCGAGCCTAAAATATTTACTATCTGGCTATTTATAGAAAAGTTCTCAGCCCCCTAAAAAATGTATGATTTTTTTGAATGTGACAAAGAAATCAGCCTTCCAGGGACCTTGCTAAGACATGCATTCTGACCCTGTGGACCTGATGCTAAAGTTCTTATTTCTAATTAGCAATTTAGATGGTACTGGCCCATCAGCAACCAACCTGAGCACGGGTTTCAAATGCAGAATCTCAGGCCGTAGGGCCATCTCATTGATTTTGAGGCTGCATAGCACCAGGATCCACAAGCATTCTCATGCCCATTAATAACGAAACCAGAAACATGGGTGTAAACTATACAAAGAGCATGGCTTTTGACTTCAGGCAAAGTGGGATTGAAATCCCATTCTCGTACATTAGGCAGGTATAAGAATGCAGTAGGTTCTCAAAAGTCTCCAGGCCTCAGGGTCTGCATCTYTAAAATGGGGACAAAAATTCTTAGTTCACTCACATAAGCACCCTATTGTGAAAATTGAACTAGATGATGGAAACCTTTTTTGAGTAATAGGCAAAAAATTAACACAACACTGGAGCTAAACTGTAAGGATCAAGGGTTCGCTATATGTAAGACACAGTTGTGAATAATTTACAAAGGTCTTGAGATTCAGAGTGGGAACACAGCTTGTTTGACTTCACAGAGTTAGCTGCAGAAATACAGATTTGGTCAGCTTCAGCCAGTGGCTGCCAGCTCTTGCACTCTGTGACCATATAAGTGTTTCCTTCAGTCCCTCCCWGCACTATTTGAATGTCTGTGCCAATGATTTGTTACTTTTTTATGAACATATTCCAAGACACATATTCCTGCCTTGCAAAAGAAATCTGCAATCCGGGTCAGTAAGGAGAATGCTCCAAATCTTAACACATACATGTGTCCTTACCAGAAAGTCCAAAAGCAACACAGTAAATCCAAAATTTTCCTAATTTATATTCTATGTTAGAGCAACTTTGTGAAATGAACCTGGAGCTTACACAGTTGACCGTTATGATGACTAAATCACATATCGGAGGARATAGCAGTATACAAGTACCTCAATTATATGGTTTTCTTGTCTTTAAAAATCACCTTCCTGTGTTGCTTGCAGGAGACAGCTTTGGCACCAAAGCCTCCATCTGCTTATAATCTCCCTTGCACATAAGGGGYCTTTTCAGAGTTTGTTGTTTTGCCCAGCAGGAAGTCCCCATTCCTGCCACTCACTTTCATTTTCCTTTCTTGCCCTTAGTGAAGGTCACAGACCTTGAAAACTTTCTGCGGAAGAGTACTCTATAAAAGATGCAACAGCATCCTCTACTGACCATGACTTATAATGCCAAAGGGGCACCAAYTCACCAGTATTTGAGCAGGTCTGGGTCACTGCTGCTATAGCGCACTYATCCATGATTTTATTTTCTTACTTTATTTTATGCTGATTTTGTTATTAATACAAAATGTTGATGTTTCATTTTTAATTAAATGGCCTTCAGCAGGAGAGTTGTTTTGATAAGCACATAATTCTTATCTGCATGGGGTGTGGCCTTGCTTCATTCAGAACTGTAGGGACTTTCATTGTGATTCTCCCAGTCTTGTCACAAATTGTACACAGTGTCTTTCTGCCACTGCTACTCCCAACATCATAGGGTCTGCTCCCACGGCCACATAAGCTACTGTCATACAAGTGGCAAAGCTCCTTGTGCTCCAGCCTCAATGAGCCCATAAGCACTTTCCTGCCTTGGATTCAATGCAGAGAACACTCAGACTGCCACATATTACCCTGTAAGGGCTAAAGTAATATCCTTAGCTGTGGAATTTGCTGTCTGCAGAATCCCAAGAAGCCCAGAAGATATTTCACTAGCTTCTTTGTGGTAGGAGGTATAAGATGTAATGTTTTGATTTTTAACAGGCAGTATGTCATAGTACACCTCTGATCACTGGACCTCTAAAARCGCATATTTGAACCATTCTCCTGAAATTTTAGAGTTCATCTCCTTCCACTAGAACATGTGTGTTTTGTCAAGACCTCCATGTACCGACCACCTGCTTCTTGTTCACCCACCCAACTCTACAATGGTCATCTATGTAATGGATAATGTGATGTGTGGGATGACCAGATTATCCATAGTTTTTTGGATTATGCCAAAGAAGAAGGTGAAAAAATTAACACAACACTAGAGCAAAACTGTATATATTTTTCATTGCTCAATCCTTATGATTATGAACTATTTATAATCCTCTTTTCTTATTAGGATAGCAAAGAATTCATTTGGTAACCCAGAAACTATAGACCATGTATCTGAGGCCATACTAATCTGCTCTAAGAAAGATACCAAATCTGGCATGAAGACTCCACTGGCAACTATGATTTGGTTGAGCTTCTATTAGGCTATCATYATTTCCTAGGACTATCCAGTTTCTTCAGGGGACAGACTAGTGAATTAAATGGCAATAAGGTGGGAACACTACTCCTGCATCCATTAGAGTCTTAATATGGCACTAATTGCTGCTCTTTCTATAAGAATATTACTACTTGAATGTGATGCTTCTAGGTTTCCATCTTGCCCACTGTGAWGGATTTTACTCCACAGTTCAAGGGTTTAATGTGGAAGTTACACTAACTGCCAGGTATTTCAATTTCAGTTATATATCCAGGGATGGGGAATGATCACCAGGTGGGCCTATGGACCTGTGAACTTAGGGGTCCACTATAAGTCAGAAGTTAGGCATGATTCCATTTATTATCTAGACCACACACAGTGGTGATGTCCCTGCAGGTCCTTAGATATTAGTATCAGCTCAATCCTGTATCCAATAGTCACTGAAATGTGTAGGGCATTMCCCTTTCCCTAGTGAACAACATCTGAATGAATGTTCATAGGACTTTTGGGGGTAGGACAAGAGGATTCATTACTATATAAGTGGAGTTGAGACCCAGCCACTCTTTCAGTCAATATGTGCTGGATCTGAAAACTGGCTCAAGTCCCAGAACTTGACAAGGGCTGACAGTGCTTGGCTTCTTTTGATGTCTTGTGCTTGTGTTTATGCAAACTGAGTAGTGCCCTTTCTGATTCCTCTTGTATTTTGCCCCTGGGGAAAAAAGTTCTATTAACTTTCCATAACTCTTGGCAGGTCAGGACCCCTTGGACACCATTTCTCCAGCTTCTACTAATACATGTTGGCTTAGTCTGGCAGCGCATTTGGGATATAGTTCTTTTCCTTTGTTATTGGGCTTAGGGAGTCCCCGGCTGCATTATAGACTGACTTAATCCTACCTGTATTTCCAATGGCCTACTGCCCAGTAGGGGAGGGAAGTCCAGACCCAGAGAGGGACATCAAAGTCTTGTGTAAGAGAGGCATCTGTATCATCTTCCAGGATGGGGGAAGTACTACATCTCACAAGAGAGAGGTCAGCTATTCTGCAGGCCCAGAAGATTTGGGAGGGTCTTTGGAGTCAAACTCTTCAGRGCCATAAGGTCCAGATGATTACATCTAGGGTTTCCCAAATAGGGTTCTACTCTTTCTCTTCTTGTTGCTTCCTAATATTGCAAACATTGACCTGACAAGTTGTGATAAATGATGTTTTGTTTTTATTCAGTTCTAAGTATTTTGTAATTATAAGTTTTCCAATCTAAAATTATTTGGAATTTTTTTTTGTAAATATTTTCTTTAGTTGTAGATAAACACAATGACTTTATTTTATTTATTTATTTTTATGTGGTACTGAGGATCAAACCCAGTGCCTCACACATGCTAGGCGAGCACTCTATCACTGAGCCACAACCCCAGCCCAAGGGTTGTTTTTTTTTTTTTTTTAATATTTTGATTTTTTGTAGTACTGGAGATCAAACCCAGGACCTTGTAGAAAGCACACGCCAGCCTGATAAATATTGTTTATGTATGTTGCAAATAAATATTTATTCTATAAATATTTGGCATAGAATTCATTAGTTTACATTTGCTAACGCATTGTTTGAATTTACTAATGTAACTTTAGTTTCTGAAAAAAATATTCTAAAATTTCCTGCCATCATTGTATTTTTACATTTCTTCTTGTAGTTCTGTGAATTTTTGCCCTTTATATTTTGAAGCTATGAGGATGAATAATGTGGCTCAAGATTTCAGTGTTCTTTCTGATAAATACTTTTTCTGGTTGTAATAATGATCATTACCTTTTCCAATGCTTTAGCTTAAAGAATATTTGACTAATTTTAATAACATTCTCCAACTTCGTTTTGGTTAACAGTTGCCTAAGGCATCTCTTCCCTAATCTTTCACTTTAAATCTTTTGTAGTTGATACATCTTTATATGCATATTTTATAGAGCAGGTAAACTGAACTCTTTTACAAATCCAAATTATGGATGCATTTTGATTCTGTTTTACCATGTATTTTGTGTTTTTCTTCTTTGTGCTTTTTCTTGGTTTGCTTTCCTTCTTCCTTTATCTCCTGATGAAGTTTTGTTTACCTGACCTTTCTCCTATCCTTATTCAGAAGTTAAAACTTTTATAAGTTAACCTTATAATTTTAAATGTGCTTATTTGACTAAAGTCAAAGTTTTATCTCTCTGCCTTCCTCTCTAAAATGAGGTCTTTGGAGTTTTCATTGCAAATCACTTCCTCCACCATTTCAAGCTCCTTTAGTCAGCATTTGAGTTTCAAMAACAAGACATTATCTTGATTGTTAGTTTTTTTTCAGTCAGTGTTTATTCACATCAACACAAATGGTTARTAAAGTTTTGCCTTCACGTTCTGACATCAACATCCTCACTATTTATATAACTTCTTTAATGGTCATTTAGCAAGGGTCCATGAATAGCAAATGTGGCCTTTGATAATAAATGTACTTCACTTTTATTATTAACTATCTGACTATGTGATGTTAGAATGATCTCTCTTTTCCCTCTGCATTTTGAGCTTGGCTATGCATTTTGTGGTTGCTGCTGCTCTACCTTATTCAGCATCTCTGCAATAAGGGGGAGGCCCACATGACCCCAGGTCTATGGAATGACTATAACTACAGGCCTTTCTAATGATGCAGCCCTTGAAGTTGGGTTTCCTTTTCCTTCCAAACAAAAACATCCTAACTTACCAAGTTGGCTTATAAAMCCAAATCTTTGGTTGAGATTGCAGAGAAGCTTTATGAAGTCTTTTCCTATGGCAAAACCCAAGTTGAAGTAAAAGTGATTATTAGTTCTTTCTTCTTGTCCCTTTGTATCATGAACTGACCTGAATTATAGTACTGTCACACTCAAGGTCATCAACTCTGCATGTGGCAAGCTCCCACACTAGACTATAGTATCAGGAGTACTGAGATAGTGCTTATTAGATGTATAATCCCAGCCCTTCCTCCTTATAGCATGGCAAATCTATAAATGATGTTTCTTGTATGAGAGAATGGGTGAACAAGTAACTTTTTCAGGGCACAAGATCTTGGGCCTGTTTCTAAATTTAGGTGGCAGTTCAGATATTGTTCAGACTTCCTTACTAAGTTGAATAGAGTGGAATCTCAATAAAATGAGCTTTGTCCTTGACAAATATATCTAATTCAAATAAAGACAAATTACTTATAAGCTTCTTTATAACAATAATAGCAGTGGTAGCAATACTAACATGAGGCCATTTTATAAAGAGCATGAACCTTGTGTTAGAGTTTGGTATGCATCCTCCAATGTAGCTGTAGAATGTATCCTTGGATCCTACAAGGCTGTGGCTGTTGGCAGGTATGCTGTACCAGGAATGTATAATCAGATATTTGTATTTTCAAAAAATACTCCATATGTTTTTGACTTTGCTAAGCTATTAGTCTTTAGAGTCTCAAGTTTTTTTTTTTTTTATTTTACATGGTTGTGAAATTTAAGTTTTTATCCCCAGTGATATTTACAAAACTAGTTTAAAAGATTCTGGGAAGCCATGCTGGACCAGATTGACATTTAGCAGTTTTATATGGCTTACAACTTGGCATATGATTAGAATGAGAAACTGACCCACCCGTTTCTGTTACCAAGAGCTTTGCCTCTAGCAGCACTGATCACAGACTGATATTAAGTATTTGTTCTCTCTTCTTTGTTTCAGAAACTGATTGGTTCACTCTAGACAATATAAATTATTAAAACATATCTAGTTGGAGACAGGGGAAAACCCCAAATCATCCCCATAGTTGATGCCATCAATATTTGCTGACACAGCAGCTATGCTTTGGGAGCTTCAACTTGCTCTGCTGATGCATGATG